AGGAGGAGGAGGAGGAATGAGGAGGAGAGGGCGAGGAGGAGAGTAGGGGAGGAGGAGAATAGAGAAGAAGGAAGACGAAGACGAAGAGGACGAGGAGGAGGAAGATGTTGTCCAACACCGGCAATTGTGTCAGAAGCGCTGGGCCAATCCTGTGCGCAGGATCGGTGTAACGCCGTCCTGTCTGGGCCAGGAAAACGTACACGCCGATCATACATCCTGGATTGTGCCTGGCAGAAACCGGTGCTGACGTATAGTTGTAGCCCTCCGAGATGTTCCACGTGACGTCGCAATCGTCCACGTGCATGTCCAGGCCACGATCCGTTTCCGGAGTGTACCTTGCGACGCCCGTCTTTCGGAAGGAGGATCGACGATAGAGGTGTTGGGACGTTATTGGCCCGTTTGGGCATTCTGCAGTCTGCGCGCTGCAGTCTTCCCTGTTCATGTCCAGGCCACAATCCGTGCAAAGCGTGCCCACGACGATCGTGCTTCAGGAGGATGTGTCTGCCCCGCAGCAGCAAGATGAACTGTGTGATTGACACCGCGGCGCGAGACGGACGACCATTTGGCAAGCTGGGAAGGTCCCCTGAGGTATCTGTCGTCAACAGCTAAACACGCCATCGAAGGGAGAAGGATCGGGAGGAAGAGGCGAAGGAGGAACTGACGTGGCGCTGGGGGGAGGAATCAGAGGGCTCGCTAAGACAGCTCAATCGGCAGAACCCCGGCAATTCCCAAGCGCGCCCTGTCACGAGCGCAGTAGGACTCACACTCAGAACATCGAAAAACATCTGTATGCTGAATGACCAGGTCAACCACGAGGAACCAACGCCTAGAGCGAGAGACCGCGCGCGCGTGACAACAGCAGCAACAGACAGGCTTCAAACAGCAAGAATAGAAAGACGCGATGCGGCCCCAACGCCCAGAGGAGGAGTGCGAGAACATGAGGGGGAGCAAGGTGCACCTCACGACAAACGTGTGGTGTATGGACAACTTCGAGCCGCCCCAGTCGTCGGTCCCCAACGGAACGCCCGAGAGCGTGCTCGCGCGGTGGGACTCCTCGCCGAAAAGCCTACGATGTCCAAAGACAGGGAGCAGGAGGAGTAAGGTCGAACGACTGAAAGGAGGAAGGGGGATGCCCACGCCATCACCCCTGCTCCTCCACGCCCTTGCCAGCGAGCAACCCTGCCCGTCTTCCTGAAATCCTCCGCCTTTGGCGTCCTGTCTAGCGGTCTTATTTCGCAAGAAAATCCACCCGCCTCAATGTCACTCGGACCCGGCCGCCTTGCATGTAGTTTCGCGTACTCGACCCTCGCATGGGCGCAAGCCGAGAACGCGCAGAAGAGGCTGCTCAGGTCAGCCTCCCCTGCGTGTCCACTCGCAACCCTGGCGTCCTTTCAAGCGGCTGCCCAGGTCAGCCTTTTCTTAGGATCGTCTCTGAATCCAACGTAGGCGATTCGCTCAGAGGTAATGCCTTGAACAGCATCGCGTGTCTTCCACCTCTGAACCTGACCATGAACCATCTTGACCCGTGGAGCCCATTTGGCGCCTCCCTGGCCAGCATCACTCCTCCTCTTCTCCTCCTCCTTCTCCGTCGTCCCCTCCTCCTCATCTTCCATGTCCTTTTTCATCTGCATTACACTTCGTCTCGTAGCCGCGCTCGCCAACGGCACGATGCAAGAACCATGCATGTCCGACGATGTCTCATCAGCAGTTGAGATCACGCGAAGGGTATGGTGAAAACAAGATCGATCGCCATCGTGGATGACGTAGTGACAGCAGCAGCAGAAGCAGCAACAGCAGCAGCAGTAGTAGTAGTGGTAGTGGTAGTGGTATTGATAGTGGTAGTAGTGGTAGTAGTAGTAGTAGTAGTAGTAGTAGTAGTAGTAGTAGTAGTAGTAGTAGTAGTAGTAGTAGTAGTAGTAGTAGTAGTAGTAGTAGTAGTAGTAGTAGTAGTAGTAGTAGTAGTAGTAGTAGTAGTAGTAGTAGTAGTAGTAGTAGTAGTAGTAGTAGTAGTAGTAGTAGTAGTAGTAGTAGTAGTAGTAGTAGTAGTAGTAGTAGTAGTAGTAGTAGTAGTAGTAGTAGTAGTAGTAGTAGTAGTAGTAGCAGTAGCAGTAGTAGTAGTAGTAGTAGTAGCAGTAGTAGTAGTAGTAGTAGCAGTAGTAGTAGTAGTGGTAGCAGTAGTAGTCGCAGTAGTAGTAGTAGTAGTAGTAGTAGTCGTAGTAGTCGTCGTCGTCGTAGTAGTGGTGGTAGAAGTAGTAGTAATAGTGGTAGTAGTGGTTGTAGTAGTGTGGTAGTAGTAGTCGTCGCCGTAGTAGTCGCAGTAGAGTCGTCGTAGTAGTCGCCGTAGAGCAGTAGAGTCGTAGTCGTAGTCGTCGTAGTAGTAGTCGTCGTCGTAGTAGCCATCGTAGTAGTCGCAGTAGAGTCGTAGTAGTAGTCGTCGTCGTAGTAGTCGCCGTAGTAGCCGTAGTAGTAGTAGTAGAAGTAGTAGTAGTAGCAGCAGCAGCAGCAGGAGTAGTAGTAGTAGTAGCGTAGTAGTAGTAGCAGTAGTAGTAGTAGTAGTAGTAGTAGTAGTAGTAGTAGTAGTAGTAATAGCCGTAGTAGTCGCAGTAGTCGTAGTAGTAGAAATAAAAGTAGTAGTTGTTGTAGCAGCAGTAGTAGTAGTAGTAGTAGTGGTAATAATCGTAGTAGTCGTAGTAGTCGTAGTAGTGAGAATAAGATTACTAGTCGTGGTAGTAGTAGTACTAGTAGTCGACGTCGTCGTGGTCGTCGGCGGCGCCGTCGACGTCGTAGTAGTAGCATTCGTGGTAGTAGTACTAGTAATAATAATACTAGTAGTGTATTAGTAGTAGTAGTAGTAGCAGTGATAGAAGAAATAGTAGCCGCAGCAACAATACTAGCAGTAGTAGTAATAGTACTAGTACTAGTACTAGTACTAGTAGTAGTAGTAGTAGTAGTAGTAGTAGTAGCAGTAGTAGTCGCAGCAGTAGCACAAGTACTAGCACAAGTAATAGCACAAGTACTAGCAGCAGTAGTAGTGGCAGTAGTGATAGTAGCACGAATAGTAGTAGTAGTAGTCGTAATACAACTAATAACGGTAGTAGTAGCAGTAGTAGTATCAGCAGTAGTAGTAGTAGTAGTAGTACAAGTAGAAGTAGTAAGAGAAGTAGTAGTACTAAGTCTACTAGTAGTAGTACTGGTAGTGATAGTGGCAATAGTAGTCGTCGTCGTGGTCGTAGTAGTAGTAGTAGTAGTAGTGGTAGTAGTAGCAGTAGTAGTAGTAGTAGTAGTAGTAGTAGTGTCCGCTGTAGCTGTAGTTGTAGTAGCAGCAGCAGTAGTAGTAGTAGTAGTAGTAGTAGGAGTCGTAGTAGTAGCAGTAGTAGTAGTAGTAGTGGTGGTCGCAATGGTAAGGTGAAGAGTCGTAGTCGCAGTCGGAATACCATTTGTATTAATCGACGTCGTAGTTTCAAATGGAGTTATAATAATACGACACGTAATTAAAAAAAAGGTAATGGTAGTGATGGTAGTCGTAATCGTAGCAGCCGTCGTGGTAGTAGTAGGGTACTGGCAGTAGTGGGAGTAGTAGTCGTCGCAGTAGAAGTAGTAGTAGTAGTAGTGGTAGTAGTAGCAGTAGTAGTAGTAGTAGTAGTGGTAGTAGTAGTAGTAGTAGTGGTAGTAGTAGTAGTAGTAGTAGTAGTAACAGTAGGTGCAGTAGTAGTGATGGTAAAAAAAAACAAAAAAAAAAAAAAAAAAAAAAAAAAAAAAAAAAAAAAAAAAAAAAAAAAAAAAAAAAAAAAAAAAAAACATGAGAGTAGTTAACGTAGATGTAGCTATAGTATTAGCGATAGTAGTCGTAGTCGCAGTAGTGGTAGTTCGGTTACTATTAGTAATAATCATCGTCGTCGCCGTCGATCTCGTGATACTAGTAGCATAGATACTGTTAGTAATGGTAAATACTAGCCGAAGTGAGACGAATAGTTGTAGTAGTAGTAGTACTAGCAGTAGTACTACTAGAAGTAGTAGTAGTAGTAGTAGTAGTAGTAGTAGTAGTAGTAGTAGTAGTAGTAGTAGTCGTAGTCGTAGTCGTAGTAGTAGTAGTAGTAGTAGTAGTAGTAGTAGTAGTAGTAGTAGTAGTAGTAGTAGTAGTAGTAGTAGTAGTAGTGGTGGTGGTGGTGGTGGTGGTGGTGGTGGTGGTGGTGGTGATGGTGGTGGTGGTAGCAGTAGCAGTAGTAGTAGTGGCAGTAGTGGTAGTAGTGGCGTGCTGGGTATCGTCACCATCACCGTGCCAATGTTGGCAATACCGTCGTGCATGCACAGTACCATCAGCATCACAGCAGTGCCACATTGGCCAGTCGCCAGTCCAAACTGTCGACGCTGCCATCGCCATCGCACTACCTCCCGTAATAGTGTACCCTTGCTGGTGGCATGTACAACGCCACCATCACTGAAGCATCGTCATTGTGAAGGCACTTTTGTATCCGCTGTCCACCCCTCTATATTCAGAACACTGCCCCTGTCTACAATCTCCCAGGATACATGCTTGCTCTTCTGTCATTGTTGCACCCTCTGCAGGTGGTCAAAGAACCTGGCGCCGATGCCAAGGAGGTACCGCCGCAGCAGGATCGTGAAGCATGGTCGGAGGCCAATGTCATTCAAGACAGCACCTTTTGACAAGGCCAGAACGCGTCGGGATTAACCTCATCGCTCCCCCCCCACACAATCACAACCACCCGTCTCGCCCTCGTCGCTTGGGACCTCACACTTCCTCGGTATCAGCAACCTTGTTGCCCGCGAGGCGTACCGAGATCTGCTGCTACAACTGTCATATTTGCAGAGCATCCTCCACCCCACGAGATCACCCAGGAAGCGCGGACGCAGAGCGCTCCACGGCCTTGAGGCTGCAACTCCAGACACTGTAGGGCCACATGGAACACCAAGGACGGCGGATGCTTACGCACTGCGCCACAGAGGGCGATCTGCACCCTCAGAAGCAGATGAAGCAGGTACGGCAGGTCCCGACCTTGACGACACAAGCCCCAGCTTCTCACGCCGCATGAAGCGCTCAGTCTTGAACAATCTCCGCGTACGGAGGTACGCGGAGGCTGTCGACGCCATCTGCTGAATGGATTTCGCGCCGTGAGTCGCTTGCTGCTCGTTCTGGGGCCCGAACCAGGTCCCAGAGGGTATGCAGCCTTGAACGCCCGCGCTGGCGCCGCGGGGAGTATGAAGACCTCACAGAAGAGACCCACGATACGGTGTCCTGGCCAGAGACAGGTGCACCCAGGACGGTGCGGTCAGAAAACCGGAATGACCAGCCCACGACGACGACAAGACCGAGGATGAAGGGAACGAGATGCATAGGCAAAGGGCGGCAGACGGCGCAGAAGAGGGGGAGCGAGAGAAAAGAGAGAGAGAGAGAGAGACACAGGGGAACAGAGCACGCGCGCGCTCGCACAACTGGCCTCATCCACCAGAATGGAGGAGGCTTCGTGGGCGAGCGAATGAGAGCAGATGGCTTCCACCAGACACCTATTTGAGCGACGCATGCACGCATCTGCGGTCACCTGGGATAGACAGCCCGATAGACAACTCATCCGAACACAAGTGTCGCCAGGGGTCAAGCGTGCCCCTGGCCCTGGAGGCTACCGACAACTCTTGACGCGTCGGTTCAAGGCCAAGCAGAGCAGCGACGAAACAACTGGTGGCAACGAATGCATTGTGTATAGCTGGGCATTGGACCAAGCCACGCAGTGATGGAGCATCTGAGGACCACGAACCAATATGAGGCAAGTTGATAAAGCAGAGCGCTGGACAATCCCTAGCGATTCTTTTCTGACACCAAGTGTGCATCACACGATCTATGCCGCTGCGTTCACGTAAGGAATGGTTCCACTGCTGAGCAAGAAGATTTGACGAGGCCTCTGGTTTCGAGGCTCAGCAGCACAAGAGCTACGCTCAAGCATTCCAGAAGAAGTACTGACTAACGATATCCC